GGCCGTTGACCAATGACGTCAAAAGTGAACATCTGTAAGGACCCAAAATGTCGCGACGTCGCAACACCCTTCGTGCCAGGGGACCTTTCCCTGGGTAATGAAGCTTAGGTATATGATCTACATAGTACTATCTCCTAGAAGCCTCACAACTTGTATGTAGTTATCTCGTATTTCTCTTAAGAGCCACCTGAAGTCAGGTCGGTCACGCAACCTCACGATTAGGTATTAATCAATGGGGAAATATGAAAAATGTTATTTTGGCGCCGGGAGCCGTCTAAGGCTGTCTGAAGCGCATTAATTCGTGATATTATACAATCTTTGCGAGCCCCGGCATTTACTTTTGCATTCTTGATCTTAGGCGACTTCATTTATGACGTCACTAAGGTCACAGGAGTTTTCACCAAAAAAGTCCCGATCAAATTGAGCTAGCGAGTCGGGAAGCCACCAAAGGACTTGTGAGGACCTACCGAATCGAATAAGCGATATGACCTCCTTGGGCCCGCTTCGAGGACTGAGTGGCTCTGCCCTGATCATGACCTGAGGTGAACACCTTAAATTGACCTCAACAAAAACAAAGCGTATACTATTCGACGCGCTTGAGCATGCAAAATTCGATGGTGCCATTACCTTGGTTCTGTATCCACTATGGTGAAGTTGTTTACCAAAAACCGATCCCGCGACTTAGAGCACTTTGACCTCAGAGTTTATCGGTTGACCTGAGAAATTCAACTCGGGCACCAGCTGCTGCATCTCATACGATGCACGTGCTCAGTTTTATCCGCAAGGCGCTAGTTCAATTAAAGGGACTATCCCACCTTTAACATGGGGTTTGAGTTGAGATAGCCAAGTTTGCGGCGAGGTTCAGAAACCACTATCTATCTAGGTTGCAACCCCCGCGGCCTCTTGGTGTTGAAGAAATTCGTTCCCTTCATTTGAAAATGGGCCTTGTACAAGGCCCTATCTTCAACATGGAGCGAGCGTTAGTGTGACGTCACCTCGTTTAGTCATTCTGATTTAAATGGGTTTGTTCGTTGAAAAATCGCTTAAAACTTGGTCTGAACTTTGTTGTGGTGCCTACAGAGTAAAAAGAATCAGCTTTATGACAGTAATGTGGCCTGGGGAAGGAGGTAATTTTGGGCTGTGACGTCACATATTTGAAAGTTTGTGTTTGGAATATGGGAAGCCTAAGATGTTTAATGAAAAATAAATGCCAGAACCGTGTTCCTGGTCATCCAATCTATAAAGTCAGGCACAATTTAACTGGTTTTAACAACATTTTAGAAGGTGGGATAGTCCCTTTAAGAGCGAAAAGACGGAGAGGGGTCGTAATCGCCCCCCCCCCCCCCTCGGCCGGGGTATATGCAGAATACCCAAAAGTCCGTTGAGGGTTAAGCACTGAAGTGATATATCATGATATGAGAAGATATAGGTCAAAACAAGTATGCACACGAGCGGGTGTGAATGAAATTGTATTTGAGGTATGCCTTTTTAATTATACGTTCAATTTGCTTTAGTTATTGGTAAGAACAGAGGCAACCAGGAAGAGCGCCCCTGAAGAAAAGATTGCGCACTTGACGGGTGCGATTTTAAGGTCTAAGGTCAGTCGGGAGCCTCTAAGTTCGGGTCAAGCGCTCCAGGGGTGTAATTTTATATCTCTTTGTGGGGGCAGATGCACACTATCCTGAAATATGCCCCACAATAATGAAAATGCACCCACAAGTCTTCTTTTACAAGCGCCATTTCGAGAGCACGTCGCCCTTCGCATGTTCTAACGGCGTCCTCCTGACTGTCTCGCATTCCTGGATAATATAACGTTTTTAATCACTCAGCGCCCTTCTGGGAGAATGGCGCCCTTTTCACAGCACTGCGCCCTTCTCATGGTCTAACGGCGCCCTCCTGAAAGTCTCGCGCCCTTATGTCTCTGTCCACCGTGCATCCCTCGACTATTCGGCACCCTTCTGTCCTCTCAGCGCCCCTGGACCACATAGCCTTTTCAATCACCCGGCGCCCTTCTAGGAGAATAGCGCCCTTTCCATGGTCTTACGGCGCCCTTGTAACGGTCTGGCGCCCCTACGTCCCCACCAACTTAGCATTACTGACTGTGCGGCGCCCTTCTGACCTCTCTGCGCCCCTTGGATCATTAACATTTTTCATCACCTGGCGCCCTTCTGGGAGAATGGCGCCCTTGTCATGGTCTCACGGCGCCCTCGTAACTTTCTGGCGCCCCTACAGCTGGGCACCCACAATCATTTTGGGAAAATTACACCCTTGAAGCGCTCCATGTTAGGGGTAAAAGAATGGGGGCAAAAAATCCCGATTTTGGCAGCATCGTCTTCGTCATGCTGTGTCACGGCACCCATCCACTCCCTCGCCCGAAATATAGTTCCCTTTTTGTATCAGTTCTGGCATAATCCCGCACATTATGCTGCATGTTGTTTGTCATGAAAAACAATGCATGTTCAGCTACGTTCTACGCAGAACGCACTAACCTAACCACCATCCCACCATCCACCACTAACCACCATCCCGTTCTGTGCTCCCTTCCACCCCACACGAATCAGCCGAGATACTACATAGTCAGTCGGGCTAGCGCTATCCTCCCCTCCCTTCCTGACTGCACAGCGATAAAACCTAGAGCCGAGACTTCCCGCGCGCGACCTCTGACCCCACGCGGTCCGCGGTCCGAAGGGTCAGCCGATGCCTAAGGGCGCGCCGCCCGCCGGCCACTCGGATAGCCTCTGCTGAGTCTCCCTTTCATACACCGTTTACTACGCGCTCGATTCATTCATGATTCTGTGTTTCCGCGTTCCTCTCGTTAGATGGCTCAACTGATGTCATAGGCGATCCCAGGCAGAATACGGCCAGAATACCCCAAACGGCAGAAAATGAGGTTTTTGGTGAATATCTCAGAAAGTATTTGGCATACAAGGATGCAATTTTACAGTCTAGTGGTAAATGTGCATACACACAATTCGGGTTCATACTTATGCATTTGAACATTATATAGGACCAGATATATCCAAAAAAGCAAAACCAACAAGACTTTTACTGGAGAGCCGTACATCCTCACTAGCTCGATGAGTGCGAGATCCTCAGGCTAATTGGCCTTCTTTACCCATACACCTCGAAGGTAAGGTAGGTAAGGTAGGTATGTCATACTTGTGAAGCTATGTTCCCTACCCTGGTTGATAAAACATAGGTAGGTACCACTACACATGCATAATGAAAAATTTCATATATTGCTGTTACATGATCCCTGGCCAGTGGCCTTCCATATCAAAGTTCACAGACAAGTTCCCTTGAACAATTTGTCGATTCCATGATGTTTTTTCGTCTAGCAGATTTTCATCGGATAATTTTTCGTCCGCAGATTTTTGTCTCCCATTTTTTATCAGAGCTTTTTCCGTACATTTTTAGTACGGACATTTTTTGTCCATATATTTTTTATCTGAGCATTTTTTTCATCCAGACATCTTTTGTCTACATTTTTTTTTTTGGAAATACTACCCTGGACATTTCTTTGTCCAAACCCGTAAAAAATGAAGAATAGTTTAAAGAGAAACATTAGGTGGGATGGAGAATACACAAAGGAGCAGAATGGTAACAAGTTAACAACATAACCAAACCTTCCCCACTGATTTTTGCCTACTGAGGAATAGAGAAAAGGCTACCTGCATGAATAGACTGCAAGCAAAGGTAAGTTACATGTTTTAGGTTATGCACATTGAGCTTCAGGCCGAAGGCCCAGTTAGGTACCATTGCCTGTAATCTTTCCTAAGGCATTGCCTGCGGCACTGCACTGCTTAGTCCACAGTATTATTATGATGTCATTTGCCTGACAAGTCACAGTTAGATAGCATTGTAGTATGTCTTCACTCAACCTTGGAGTTATAACAGTGGTTATACAGTGAGTGCACACACATAAAATTTACTAGATACAAAAACTCAGGATGAAAACATGTGTAGACAGAAAAAATATATAGACAAGCAATTTCTGCATGAAAAAAATGCACAGAAAGAAAATGTGCGGACGAAAAAATGTGACGAAAAAAGTTAATGAAAATCTGCAAACAAAAAGGCTAGGTATAATTAGACCTGGTGTCCCAGTCCCAGGAAGATGCCAGATACCGTTGTAGATTGTAGCTTTGTAGGGTATGTTGTAGGTTTGTACGTAGTAGGTTAGGTTAGGTTAGGTCAGGTCAGGTTAGGTTTGTTTTGGTCTATATATCTTTGTCGTCCCAATCTGGCATCTTCCTGGGACGCTAGGCTTACTTATAGCCGAAAAGTGTCCGACAAAATTTTGTCCAGACACCAATTGGCAATGTCACTTTAAAAAGACTTATTTTAAAATATCAACTGTGAGCTCACCTTATCCCTGTTGATTCCGATTATCGTAAAACACAATTATGGCGTTCCCAGGTAGTCTGAGGCGCCCATTAAAACACGCCATTTGCTTAAGATTATCAACGCAGGCATGCCTCCGTACAACGAAAAAATGATCAACGCAGTTTGTGAATAATCAGACGGCAATAAAATGGCAAGAAGACGTTCACGTGGGCGTGAAACGTTTTCCACTTCAATCTCCCAACAAACACAAGCTCGGACACGCACAAGAAGCGAAATGGCTGGCGGATTAGAGAGTAGCAAGTACCTATAACGAATGAGTACGAGTAGCTTCTTTTACACTCAATTCTCGTTATTTCATGCTTTTTCTTTGCCCTATTAGCCGTTTTTTATTTTAAATTATACTATAAATGTTTTTAATTATAATATCAAGCTCCTGAGCAGCTTAATATTTGTAATAAAACTTAAAAATATTTCTTATCGTTGGTATTTTAATGAGTATCAAGTACCTCTCACTGTGAGCTCTTACATCTCTATATAACGCGCGTAATAATTTTCTCGTTTGTGGCGCGCTTGTTACATTTTTAGCTTGACTACAAAAAGCACATGTGTTTATTTTCAGTGGTTTATTTACATTAGTGGAACCCCAAATCAAATTGAAATACCGCGCTGAGCGCTCTCCGTGTATCCGTAATCCAAGGGTTGTCCGTTGTGGACTGTGGCATACTGTGGTATATGGCTGGGTATATTGATATACTATATGCGTTATCCTGAAGTACTGTTTAGCAACTAGCGAGCGTTCATTAGATGGATCCAATTCCAGTCAAGGCGATAAGTACCGACCGATCCAGTGACTTGAAGGCTGAAGCACAGTATACGGAGGCCGGGGATGTGATCTGATGCTATTGAATAATGGATGGGATGCCGTCATGCCATCGCAAAACCAAAGCCCTCGTTTTTCGTACTTCCAGATTGCATGTAACTGCTCCAATTGCAGGTGAGTCATTGTGCTAATCGATTGAGACTGGTGACGGTCGATTGAGCACAGATCAGTGTCCTGAGGTTCCTCGTAGACGTCGGAAGTGGAATGAGTGAGACGGACGTCTCTCGTCAGTCGTCGGATAACGTCAAATAGATGATCCGATCTGGCCCTAGATGACTTCAGAGGCCCAGCCCAAATTCGGGGGTCTCCCGTCTCAGCTGATCCCCGAAGGTCCCAAACTGAAGTTGTCACATAGGCGGCGGAACGGGGAGGGCACCGGGGCACCGTGCCCCCCTTTGATTTACGCATTTTAACATCAGCCCTATGGGCGTTGCCGTGGAAAGAATTGGACCAAAAGTCGGCAGTGCCCTCCCCCCCCCCCCCTAAATTGAAGATGTTCCGCCACCACTGGAAGTTGACGGATATGTAAGTGCCCTTACCGATATCTGAGGGCCCCTTCTGTCCTCCGAGAGACCCTACTGACATTTGAGGTCCTGCCGGCCGTTGAGGACCCCGGCCGACCTCAGAGCGTCTCTACTGGCCCTTAAGGACCCCTACCTGCCTCTGAAGGCGCCCACCAATTTATGTATCCCTAACGACTTCTGAGAGCTCCTACCGGTCTTCGAGGACCCCGACCCTTCCGGCCTGACTTTGAGGGCCCTTCCCGGTCGTTGAGGACCCCTACCAACCTCATAACACCGGACCCCTACTGGCCTCTGAGGGCCCCTACCGGACCGGCCTCTGAGAGCCCATAGCGGATTTTGAGGTCGCCTACCTACCCTACCTTTCAGAGTCTCTACTCTACGGCCCTTGCCGACCTCTGAGGGCGCCTGCTGACTTCTGAGGCCCTGACGACTTCTGAGGCCTTTAGCGGCTTCTAAGGGGCCTATCCACCTCTGGGGCCCTAAACGGTCTCTGAGTACCCGTAACAGCCTCGGAGGGCCCAGGCCAGCCTTTGAAGACCCCTATCAGTCGCTAAGCTTATAAGAACCCATACTGGCCTCTGACTTCTGAGGGCCCCTATCATGTTCAAAGGGTCCCTATCGGGCCTCTGAAGAGTGAAGGTCTCGGCTCTCTTGCCACCCCGGCTCGTCAGCGCTGAAGCGCATGCCTGCCACATACCAGTCACCAGTGACCAGGCAGCCTGTTCGCTGACCAATCGTCCACGCGAATGATTTCGTGGGCCGCTCGCTTACGGTAAGCCGTGAGGCGCTAATTTCGGCCAACCAGCCGGCTCGCAATTATCAATTACTCACATTTATATCCAGTTCGGCCGCTATTTCTGAACGCTGACTTAAATCCCGCAGGGCACAAAACAGAGCTCTCATATTAGGGAATAGCTACGTGGCCTTAGCCATTCGGCGGCACGGCACTCCACGCCGTTTAACACTCAGAGTTCAACAAAGGTAAAGGCCCCAAATTAGTGTATTTGTATTTCGGATCGATCCAACTTTGGTCGATCCGAAGCGTCCCAAATCCGGGCTAAATCCTAGCTGAATCTAGGCGTACTAACTACTATGGGCTGTCTTCACAGACCCTTTCCCGAGATCATATGTCCAGACTCAGCGTATTTTCAATACGGAAACCAATGGCGTCATAACACATAGATTAGATCGTAAGTCGTAACTCGCAGTTATCTTTGAAATCCGGTGACCTCACAAATCCGACGCCTGTATCCGTGCACATGTTTCCTTCCATGAAAATGTGGCGTTTTTAAGTCAAATAAGAGCTCATCGACAGGGGATCGTTGACTCACTCTGACCGTCCGCAATATGACTTATGACAATGGGCTTGGCCGCCTAGCACTGTCCATTTGGCTGATCTGGACCAGGGTAACGATATTGAGTGAAGTCTGGTCCGCCTTTTGACTTCGTCTGGCTTTCAGTAAAAATCTTTAGATGACTGTACGAGACCCTGTGTATCGTGAAAGGCTCAGTGCAAAGTTAATCGGTAACGTGATAAAGTTTACGGTCTTCTTGAGAATTATGAATCCAACCTCCCTTCGTGATTTCCTGGCTGATTCAAACGGCATTCTTACCGAGTTAAGGAATCAAAGAAGTCAATGGAATGACTCGGACAAGGAATGTTATCTGATGACGTCATAGAGCATATGCATTTCGCCGGAAGGCGGGATACTTCAGATGCCGGGACGCCAGTAAGCCCTTCATGCCTCAGCGCTGAATACCCTTCCGTCGTTAACATATTCATGACTTCTCGGGTCAGGTCCTTGGACTAACTTCCGAGAACTTGACCGGCCTCTTATGATGGCACTAGGAGCAGGATCGAGGACTTGATTAGCATTTTGTAAGACGGCAGGACCAGGAACTAAGGGATGTTTTGTTCAACATATGATATGCATGCTGCACGGTGCACACATTATCAGCCGTCGCTATTACAGAGGTCAGCTATGTAACCATTGTCGTCCCTCCTCAGCACTCGGGTACGGCGCTGTTTCCGGGTGCATGATTTGGTTTCCAGATCCCCTCGGGTGCCCCGCCAGCACCCCTTCAAACCCCTTACAGTCCGCGGAATCTCTCAGCAGGAATAAGAAGCCAAAGATAATCACCGAGCACCTTCCAGCATCTCCTATGTCCTAGGCATTAACACCTTTCAGCTCCCCTGAAAACCTCCTAATTTCCCTCTAAACCCATCGACAGTTTCAGCACTTCTCAGCACCCTATCTGGCCTCTGAGAACCCCTCAGCATCTCAAAGGCTTTTCAATACCCCTCTCAGCACCCAGCCGCACCTCTCACTCATCATCTCTTCTCCAGCACCCCTCAGCACCCATCTATACCTGCCATTTGATACTCCTCAGTACCGTTCAGTACTCGAAGCACCCCTCCAATACCCTCTCAGCACCCCTTAGCACCCCTAAACACCCTTCATCACCCCAACAACACCCCTCAGCACCCCTTCCTCTGACGCACTGATGCCGCCCGGGTGACCTCCGCCGCCCTGGCGGGAAATCCCGCGTGCTTTCCGTGCCCACGTGACTCAGGTGAGGTGAGGTGAGGTGAGTCTGCCGCCGCCGGCGGCGAGACGATGACGCAGTACACAGCGGTACCGGGACGGCCGCACAGTTCGCCGGGCTCTCCGGAACGGTCGAGTCGAGTCTCAGCAGTAGCGGCCGCAGTAGGGCATCCACAGTTGGTTGGAGTACACCAAGGTGGTGTCTTAGGGCCTGCGGTGTTTGGATTGACGCCGGAGTGAGATAATACGCCTGAGCGGCAGAGTCCGGTTGTGACGAGCGGAGGCAAGGTCAAACGATTCGCGTCGGACAATAACGCTATACCCAAGGCCGAGCGGTAGAGGGCAGGGTGTTAAGAGGAAGTCGCAGAGCTGGTGGAGGTCTTCACTGTCTGATCGTCAAGCTCTCTGCACTGATCCAGGTGAGACAAGCGCTATTTTGTTGAACTGTTTGGTATCGATGTGCTTTTGATCGATTGCAAGTTAGCAGATTTATCTTGAATGGTGTGATAATGAGTCACCTTGATCCCTCTTAGCAGTGCAGCCAGCAAGGTATTGCATATGATCTTTTCACGGCTGCAAACTCAAATCAGTTTTAGGAGTGTATCGTCACTTTGTTAGTGGGGAATAACGTAGCCAATACGGGCTGAACATGAACGTAGCCGTAGCTCGTGAAATTTCACAACAGGGTAGATATTTTGTATTTGTTAGGTAATTGCCGTACCAGAACTGAATAATGTGTTTTTGCAACATGTGTTCAGTGGGCAACATTACAAATGTTGACATTGATTGAGACCTCGTGTACGATGTATGTCAAAGCTTGACGGACCATGATATTTTATAAGGACAGAAATTCATACCGGTTATACTTTATTCGCGTTCTTCGTATCCAACAGTCGTAGACGTTGTGCTTCGTTTACATGGGAAGAAGTGTTGCACTGCAGTCGTAAAAATTCCTCATGGTTAATGTATGACTGCGGAGCTGATTTCTCTATTGGCTGGGCCTGACGCCGAAGTCTCTGGAGTGCAATGTTCGATTTAGTTAGCATTAGTTACTTTGGCGGCCACGAACAGCTACAGCCGTTTGTCGCGCTACATTCACAGTGAATGCAGAACGGTTTGCCTTTTAATGAGGGCGGGTAGTTTATTGCATAGTCCGATGCTATGAGAATTCGATGTCATTGCCGAGTGAAAAAGCGTGCTCGGAATTGAAAATAGAAAGGCATAAAAGAACAAACCCGAATATTTTTTTTAATGAAGGTTTTTTTTGGAGCATGGTCCCTACTGCAGCGTTCAATAACACCTTTTGTTACTGGCAGCAAACTATGACAGGGTCCCTGAGCTCCGACTGGCCAAATAACGGCTTGGCTACAGAAATGAATGTGTTAGCGTCACCATGACATTGTAAAAACAATGAATAGGAAGCGTCAAGCGACGCATTTGCCTTGTATCTGCCAGTGACCGTTTCCCATCCCTGTTTGTTGTTGTACGAACAATTAGGCGGCCAAACCAATTACGGCATGCCTATGTAGCTGAGCAGCTACTGGAAACAACAAATCCTTCTCTTAAAAATGTAAACAGAGATTAGTTATACCTACTCTTCGCGCAGTTCCGAGTTCAGCCTAAAAGGACTTTTTCACTGGGGTGAAGATTTTAGACGCATCCAATTTTCCCGGGTACAGACGACATATCCGATTTATGATTGGATGTTGCATGGGCCATACTGCCCCAAAATGTTTGCCAATCCCCTACCCCCCCCCCAAAAAAAAACGTTAACTCATTGTCACCGAGGCTTTTAAAGTTGAAGTGCGAGCTCGCCAAACTGAGTGGAGTACCATCAGTAAACATAAGGTACCGAAACGGTTTAGAAGGTGCCAAAGTTCGCATTGCTCCAAAATCGATCAAGTGACGCATGCAAGCAGGTCCCCATGTGCAAAATCCGGTTTAGGCGACCCACTTCTTCCCTCCGTAGTTTTCCGTAAATCAATAGGTACAGTGCTGGGTGCGTACGTGACTTCCACTTTCCCTGAAATATCGGTCTCAACGGTCACTAGCCTTCAATTACGCACTTGGTGACGGATGAATTTCACTGCATGTGGGGCAAATACGTGCAAGTGGAGTGGCTTTACCAACTCTAGGAGCACGCACGTACCCTCCCACATCCGTCGGCACACATACATAGTTCGGACCGCCTCCCTGCCGCTGTTCCGGATATGTATCCGTATAATCGAACTGAGTCAAAGGTCGCTCACGTACTGATGGACTAGATAGGATAACCTCACGCGTAACCAATACTGGAAAGCCTGGTCTGGGAATCACCTGGTCTGTGATGATCTGGTTCTTTCTGAAATTTGACCTTTGTTATTTATAAACACGCTTCACTCTGAACAGCAAATCAGCTGGTTGGAAGTTCACGTGTCTCCCTCTTAAATAAATGTATTTGTAGCCTCATGCGTACATAGGTGCTCATCGCTGTTCATTGTCGATATTCGCTGTTCACATGACAATGTTCATAAACAGCGCTCCATCCGCCTGTCTAACTCTCACGTATCCCTGTCGGCAGGTCGCCATGTCAGTGCAGGTGGTGATGCATCAGAGAAGCCCCCTGATCCCGCTGGTGTTCGTGATGCTGTCCCTGATGTCATACGTCCACTGCAGACCACAGTCCTCGGATAGTCATCCTGGAGGCTACCACAGCACGCTGTTACAGTATCTCTCCGGCATTCAGCAAGAGTTACCGCCCGAGCGTCGGCCCAGCCCGCAGCAGCAGCAGGAGCTGGCACAGTTCCTGCTGAACCAGCAGGAGGAACAGCGACAGCAAAATCTCAGACCGGAGCAGAACCGTGGTGGAAACCAGCAGATACAGCGGCAACAGCAACCTTTCAGACAACAACAGCAGTTCCAGCAGCAGCAGCCCTTCCGGCAGCAGCAGTTTCAGCAGCAACAGCCCTTTCAGCAGCAGCAGTTCCAGCAGCCTTTCCAGCAGCAGGGACGGCAGCAGCAGAGTCTGAGGCCAGCTCCCGTGATTCCCGTTCGGGGACGACCTGCTCAGTTCAGACGCAGACCGGGTGGAGCCATCATTTTCCCCGGTCCGGCCTCATGAGTTCGGGATGAAGCCTGGGTTGGAGTCGGGGAAAGGTTGAGGGTTCCCGAGTTTGAGTCAAAGCATCCCGAGTTGGGATCGGAGTAAGGCAGAGTGAAATGGTTTCTGGCGGAGTCTAGCATTGAGCCCGACGAAGTCCATGATTTAGTCGACGGAGTAGAGAACGAAGTCTGCGGGAACCCGAAAAGAAACCCGACGTAGTCAGGAACGAGGTATGCTCGAGTCTTGGGCGGTGCCTGACAAAGTCTATAACAGTGGCAGAATGTGTCTTAGGCCAGTTGAGAGTTGCTGGGGCATGCACCGGTGGAAGGAGGTCGCTAGAATTGGTGTGAGCTGTCTGGATTCCAAAGCACTGGATTTGTTTGTATGTCAATGATGCGGTCTTATGTTACGAATGTTTTCTTTTTCAGTTGACTTCATGTCAACATGTGTTCGGTCGGACTTACCCCCAACCCTTCCGTACCTCCTCAGTGCGTAAGTGTTCATGTGCTGATCCATCATGATCTTCTCAAATAAATGAACTTCCATGTGAAGAATGTGTACTAAGTCATGATTTTTTTCTCACAAATACATTGTTGGCTTCATAAAGGTGGTACCTATTGCTTGTCTACTGCGGGATGCATGCTCCTCAAAGACCTTTTCAGTTATTGGCAGGTCTTCCAATAAAAATCTGATTTCGCTTCCTAACTTTACTTGTCGATTTGGAACAATTGTAATAGCCATAAATTTACTTTTCGTGGAAGATAACGTACCCCATGCATTCATTTCTGACGTTGAAGGAGGGACAAAGGCCCTAAACGTCTGCCCCTTTGATCCACCAATGCACTTATACCTACATTTCGTATGCCTCAGCCATGTGTTTTAGTATGCAGATATGTGTAACACTCTGCAATGTGTAAGTGTCGAGCATTAGGTAACCAAGTTTGATGCATTTATTTGCTTTGCAGAGTGGGGAGTGTCAGGAGTAGGACTGACAAACTAGGTGTGCGTGTGGTTTTGTTATCAAATACAATTATCTCGCAGTTTGTAGTGTTACTTTCGCTTATTGTTCGCGATGCTGTTTTCAAAATGTGTACGGTTTTTAACGAAGCTAGTTGATTTTTTTTAACTCTCGGCTCTCTCGCGTCTCGCGCAGTCTCGTCTTTCTCGAACTAAGTAGCCTGTAAAAAAGTCATTGATTTATCTTACACTGGACATTGCAGGCTCGAACACCTTGTTTCAAACATTCATCTCAGTTTAGGTATATAAATTCCGTCCCCTCAGATAAGTCTGCCTCCACCTCCACTATACTCTGCCTCGTGCCCAACGCTAGCCACTCAGAGACGTCTTCGGCCGTTCGGCGCTGCTCATTGGTCGTCGCCAAACGCGAGCGCTCATAAAGGCACGCGAGTCCCGGCGACTGGCAGAGAGCGCTCGGACGGCAGCGTGCATTCAGTATGGCCCGGTTTGTGCTCCTGTCACTGCTACTGCTGTCTGTTAGCTGTAACTGCCGAGCAGAGATCTCATCCGGGGGAGACGACCTGCAGTCCATCAGATACGGTTAGTCGGAGTGTGGGGGTGCGAGATACAGGCAGATATTCGGATTTGGGGGTGTAAGATACAGTCAGATACTTGGTGGGGTGTCAGATACCGATGTGGGGCGTGAGACGCGGTTTGATACTGGGTGTGGAAGCGTGAGACATGGTCAGATACTAGGTGTGAGGGTGTGAGTTACGGTCAGATACTAGGTATGGGGCGTGAGATACGGTCAGATATTCGAAATCGAGTGGTTGGTGTGAGATATATGCTTGGGGGACATGACACACAGTCAGATGCTTGGTCAGAGGGCGTGAGATACAGTCAGATACGAGACACCGGTGTCTGGGGAGCGTGAGATACGATAAGATACTAGATGTGGGGGCGTGAGATTAAGATACAATCAGTACTAGATGTGGGGTCGTGATATATGGTCAGATAAGGTACTGTGTGTCACATTCAGATGTGGTCTGTCCGGTGTGGTGCCATAAGATGCCATCAAACAGATAACGGCCTGTGAGATTCAAGTTAGAGGTGTGCTGGCATGAGCTACGGTGAGATACTTGGGTGTAGTGAGGTCAGATACGGTCAGATAAGATATGTAGTGTGGTTAAATGTATCTAGTCAGTCAGATACGGTCGGTCGGATGTGGGATGTGAGATACGATCAGATGTAATACGATTACAGTCAGATACGATCAGTCAGATATGGAACGTAAGATGCATCCCGGTAAGATGCAGTGTGGTGTAGTCCATCAGATGCGGTCAGTCAAGTAAACTTCGATAAAGGAGCAACCAGCAACCACAATACAGTAGCTGATAGCTATATTGATAGCTGTGTAGCTGACCACAATTCTGCATCTGAGTTACATTTCGGCGATAGAGATGAAACAATGAAACATTCAGGTGTGGGTATGGGATTTACGGTCCAGTAAGATATGATGTAATACGGTCAGGTGTCGTCAGATACAATGAGGTGTGGTGCCATTAGGGGCATTCCACGTCAAATCGAACAAAAATCGGCTGTTTTGCACCTTACCATCAGCGATTTCATTATAAATTTGTGAGCGGGTTCCTGTGTGGCCCCGGACATAACATTGATGTTTTTTTGCACATTCTGACCACAGGTCTTCTAAATATAGGGCATCAAATTTTTACAAAATGTTGCATCTTTATATTTTTGAACGACCATAACTTTGGTTGTACTTGTTTGATTTGAATGAAATAAACCTTACTGTTTAGGTAATTTCTTAAGCATTTGTTTAGAATTGCACCTACTTAAATATATGACCTTGAAATTTGCTTAACTCTGTTCTTAAGCACAAATATTGAAATAGCAAAAAACACGTCACCTTCGATTTGGCTCATTTTCATATATTTTATTGCCTACCATATTCTTAACAACCTGTGAAAAAATTAGAGTGGGCCATTCATAAGTTTTGAAGAAAATTGCACATATGCAAACGTATGTTAGCACGCGCAGTGGAGGGGGAAGAGCGAATTTCGCCCACCCCTCCTGTTTTTCGCCAATATCTCATAAGATTAATGCGAAATTAATTATGGCTACCTGTCAAGAATTGAATTGGACATCTCATCGTGCAAGCAATAAGAAAATCGGTTCACAACTGTTCTAGTAATAGCGGTGTAAAGTGAACATCCTGTCGCCGCAGCGACGCGGCGACTCGGCAGCCGGCGCCGACCGCTACGTGCCGCCTGAATTGTAGACTGTGCCGGGACGGAACGGAACGGTTCCGTCTTTACATCGCGATCCCTACCGCTGATTACGTTCGATTCGCGTCAAATTTTGTGAGAAGACTAAGAAATGTACAGGCAATCTTATGGTGAAAGAGTTTTGAAAATCGGTTGGTAAACAATTGAAATATGAACGTGTAAACACAAAATTGTGATTGCTGCGTTTCCCGCATCGGCCGAGCCCGCCTCAGCCGGCGACATGTTACTCTTAGCAGGCCTCTAACTGCCATATTTATTATTGGATTAGCTAGAAATTCCCCATACATACTAAAAAATGTATGTTCTTTCGTATAGTGAAGATCAAAAGACGTGAAGGTATCGTTGCGTGATAATGTTTTCGTTGAATTTACTTCATGATGCATTTCCACACGGCTCAAAATTCACCGCAAAATACCGTTTGCCTGAGACACTTTTACTATGGAACGTGAATGCTTGACTACGATGACTATGCATTTCCATTCTCGCAGAGTTTGGGATATCACTAATCAGCAATCATTCATTTCAGAAAGTGTACACAAGCAAGCATGTCTTGACTCTGTCTTTCAAGGTCACGCGCGGTTGCGTGATGTTGATGCATGAAAACGGCGTTTGCCGCGAAAGTTATGAATGGCCCACTCCAATTTTTTCACAGATGGTTAGGAACATTGTGACGGACATAATATGTAAAAATTACCGAAATCGAAGGTGACGTGTTTTTTGCTATTTAAATTTTTCTGTTTTAATTCAAGGTCAAATGCATTTCAAGGTCACTTCAATTTAATTTTATAATTAAAAATCAAAGCCTTATCAATTGCCTATAAGACCCTGTTAATATCATTTTGATACCAGAAAAGGAACCAGAGTTATAGCCATTTAAAAAATTGATATGTGGCATTTTTCGCTATATTCGATGACCTATATCTCAGCGATACGTTATCAAATTTCGAAAATATTATACGTAACTCAGTTTTGAACCATGCCCAGTCTGCCTACAAATTTTCAGAAAAATCGAAGGGGATGACGGATTTCGGTGTTTGATTTGACGTGGAATGCCCCATTAGATACCTTTAGGAAATCATTTGTGTTATCGAGTGAATCGCGGGAACGTCAGAATATTTCTTTCTTTCTTTCTTTCTTTTCCGAGATTACGTATGTTGCCGGCACAATTGATTAAAACGTTTAATGAATATCTGCTACGCTCACAACAGGCTCACATACATACGTTCAAATGTGCCCGACTGTCCCTCTCCCTAGTCCCTACAGTTCAAATGATTTATCTAGAATCACGATTGGCCGCCCGACAGACCGCTAATCAAGCCTCTTATTTAGTTACCAACCGCGTGTGAAATTGTTGCATGCAGTATGTGCAATTGCATCATGCGTCTATTGTGATCCATAAGGGCAGCTACGCGAATTCGCCAAATGAAATGCGACGTCAACCTAATGCGACCTTGCCGCTGTTGTATTTTTGAGAATTGTTAAACGTGCACCTTGGAACAGCTATTATTCAACGCAGCCTTTTGCGTGTCTACTGGGTATTTGGGAGATTCCCAGATAATGGATGTCTGGAAACTTTGCTCATTACTGGGTATTTGCACCAAGGAATCGGTTACCATGGCACCAAAAATCATCACGAGGGCAGGGAGACGTTAATAATTATCTGAATGACGCTCGTCCCAGTTATTAACAACAGGTATGTACATACCTATTACCTATCCAGAACAGATGCATATGACAAAAGAAGATCATATCCGGATAAAACTGGATCAGACTACTCTCAAGATGGTACGGTAGACACCGGAGCCTTCATTGGATTCTGAGAGGTTGAGGCGCGGGATACTTCATGATAACGTTAGACGTTAGGAGGAGACTAATGAAGCGGAACCTGTCAAACTTGATAGCTTGCAGTTACTGACCGGCCCCTCCCCCCGTGCCGCAGCCGCAAGGGGCGATGTTGACATCATTTCTGAACATTACGTCATTTTGTTGCTCCGAGAAACACGGCTCGCGGTGGCTGTTTTATGATAAATTGCGTGTGAAGTCACCGGCGCACTTAAGCGTTATCAATGTCCCATGTCCAAAATGACAGCACGGTGCCTCCAAATGCGCCTGGCGAAGATTCAGATGCGTTAAAGCCACAAATGGAGTTTTGCGGTCGGTCGTGCAAATCACGCGATCAGGCGAGCAGACACGAGCGAGCGGCCACCATGTCAGGCCAGGGTGCAACTGGGACTGACACGTGCCACAGTATCTGATTGTCACCCCTTCAGTGGGCTGGCTGGCCCACTTTAGGCATGGGACATTGCACTTTGGTACATGGCGCATGGTTTGCTAGTGTTCCGGG